AGAAATTTTTTAGATTCACACTATATTGGATTTACATAGTGATTTGCGTCACGTTATACTATGTTTATTCTTCTGTTGACTGGCAGATTATCAATTAAGTTTGTAATATATAAAAAAGTAAAATAAAAAATAAAATAAAAAAGCTACTTTTAAATACAACAAGGTTTATAAAACAAGTTTTATTAAGATTAAAAAATCAGTTATTTAAGAAATTTTAAAAGTTTTTTTATAATAGTTCAAAAGTAAGTATAATAATTTAATATAATATTACTATATAAAAACAATCTGTATAATATATTCTTTAACTGTTTATAATTTTTTTTCTCTTATATATAGTTATTAAATAATAAAAAAAAATAAACTATATACAAATATACTTACTAAATATTTACTATAAGAAATATTAATTTATATTACTATAAGAGATGATTATATTCTTATTAATATAAAATATAAACCTTAGATTTTATACTATGTCCAAGCTAATAAAAAAAATACAAGATAGGTCTTAAGAAAATTCAATAATTTATTAACTACATATCAACTCAATTAACTAATATAATTAGTTTATTTGTAACAAATATAAATTATAAAAGAGAAGCTTTAAACTAAGTAGCAAATTTCAAATATTTTTATATATTAGTAATAATTTTTTAAAAATTATCAAACAATATTATGAAGATACAAAAAAAGAAAGTTATTTAAACTTTGGTAATGTTATAATCAATAATCTCAAATTTAATAATAGTAAAATCAAATGAATTGATAAAATAACAATATGAATTAGCAGATTTAGCTTATATTAAGTGATAGATAATATTTATTAATAGTTAATAATTATTTTTTGCAAAAAATAAAAAGTAATTTTGAAAGCTTTTAAATCAAAGAAATGTTTAGTAATTATTTTTATAATAAATAAACAAGAAATTGAACTTAATTTTCTTAACTTTGATTATATTTATATAGTTAATATTTCAAATCTGCCAGAAATATACAAAAAATTAAGATATATAAAAAATAAATTAAATTTAAAATTTAAATTCTTTCTAGCTATTTCTTGCAAATCACTTAACAAATTTAATTAAAATAAATTACAACTATTGCAAAAAAAAAGTTGATTATATTAGTTATTATAAATTTATTAATCAATTGTATAGTATAAATATAATTTTAAATAATATAGATTTTGAGCTTAATATCAAATTGATTATAACTGATATTTAATAAACTTTTTACCTAAAAATTAGAAAATATTATACAGTAGCTTGGTTATTGCAGAAATCTGAAAAGAAATTCTGATAAATATTTATCTAATTATGATAGTAGTTTATCTACTTATAAACTTTTCAAATCCCAAAATCAGTTTCACATGCTAGTGCTCTTATGCTGTTATAAAAATTTATAACTTAATAATCCTTCCATCTTGCATTATATACTATTGTTCTAGTTATATTACAATAACATTTTTCTGATAAGTATATTCTAGCAAAATTACTTTATATTTGTTCTTTTTAAAGAATTTAACATTATATTCTCTTGGACTTAATTATGAATTAAATAATATTCTCAATGTTTACATTCTTAGTCTTATAAATCAAGTAATAGATGTGAAAAATTAGAATTTGTAGCAAAAAAAAAAAAAAAAAAAAAACTTAAAACTCGATTTTTTTTTCCCATAATTTCTAGAGATGATAAGAAGTACTCAAAGTACTTACTCTAAACGACAACTTAAATTTCCCATAATTTCTAGAGATGATAAGAAGTACTCAAAATACTTACTCTAAACGACAACTTAAATTTAAGATTAACTTAAATTGCTTGTTTATTAAACAACTTTTTTGCATCTGTGTAATTTATTCACTTAAATTTTTTAAAAAAGAAGTTAAGAAAACAAGTAGCTATATATTTGCTTCAGAAATGTGTAAACAAAATATAATAGTTTACAATCTCTAAACTAATATATGTATACATAAAAACTTTAAATAAAAATATTTATCCGGCAAACTCATGATCATGAAAAAATTTCTGTTATTTTTTTCATATGTTACGATGTATTCCAGGATTCAAAAAAAAAAACCAGCGACTCCCTACCAATCATGATCATAAATTGCCGGATAACACCATTATTGGGCAAATTGTCGAATATGGAAATTCGATAAATACACGTGCCGCTTTGCGGCACGTCCTCATTTGCCAAATTACCGTTATTCGACAATTTTTACAAATACAACTATGAAGCTTCTTTAAATTTATCACAAAAGTACTAACTTTTGATAATCTGCACTGTAATACCTTGATAGCTTAATACACTCTATTTCTGTTTACAAGAGATAAATCATACTGATTTAAATTATTATAGCACCGATAAAATTATCATATTTAGCTTTCAATAATAATGTCAACCTTAGATATGATCGGTTCGAATTTTATTCATTAATTAAATAAGATTATGATTCGCTCTTTCGACTCGAAATCGATTAAGATAATAAAGTGAATCCCAAGAGATTATTGTAGTGTTTTTTAAACAAATAAATTCTGATATCGCGCGATTTTAGAGGAATTTCTATTAATAAGTCAATTAACGTTAATATAAATAAAACTTAGAATTAATTATCAAATATATACTTCATTGGTTTTAGTCTTTGGTTATATTAAAAAAAAACCCCCTTTAAATATTGTATCACTTCTCATTGATCTAAATCCATTTTTTAGTACATTGCTTACGCACTAGGTCTCTAATAATATAAAGTAAAGAAATTATATGGTTCGATAAAAGTTTATGCATGAATTATTGTTACAAGAATCGATCTGCTGATTTTGAAAAAATCGACTTGATGGAATGAATGGTCCGATATATATGAAAGAGACAAACCGATGAGTAGTTAAAAATTATTGAGGGTTATCCTCCTCCTCCTCTTCTTCTTCTTCTTCCTCCTCTTGTACGTCCTCTGCATCATTGATCCCACCACTCGCTTTTAATTGTAAGGTAAGGTGATTATTAATATCTTTTTGAAGTGATGATAATGCGTCAGTTAGAGATTTAATTGCTTCTTTGTTTTCGTTAGAGTTGAATGACGGAACCGTACAACTGAATTCTTTTGGCGATCCCTCCTGGGTTGGAGATACATAAACTGCCCGAACGCTCGTCATGACTGTATAATTTTCAAAAAGAAATCGTTGATCGCGATAATCTTATCTGGCATTTGCATTTATCGTTATCATTACTGCATTATCGTGACAATCAATTAATTGTGTCATCAGTCATCAAAAATTGTTAATATTTCCAGATTTGGATTGAATCTAAATTACGGGTATAAAAGGACTTTTATATCGGTATCATTTCTTTCATCAAAGACCGCAATGTCAGTAATTCTCAAAGATCTTAATGATTATATTGCCCCCTCACAAGCTTGTATAAAACCTGTTGAAGTCAAAAAAACCTCGACAGACAACAATGTAAGTTGATTAACTTTGAAATTTGACACACCATTTGGTTGCTTTTACATTCGTTCACTCATGACCTATTCTCATAGAATGTGATTAAAATCGATAATTCCGGTGAATATTATGAAGTTTCACAGGAAGGTATTGAGACAAAACTACAACCTGCAAGTATAACTTTGGAGGATTGTTTGGCTTGCAGGTACGTACAGTTTTCTCTTGTTCTCATAATTTTGATAATTTATATTTGATCATCCATTAATATTTTCTTTACAGCGAATGCATTACATCGGCTGAAAGTGTTTTAATAACAATGCAATCTCAAGAAGAATTATACAATATTTTGAAAAATAATAAACAAGCAATAGTAGATGAAAAATCGGAGAAAATTATTGTTGTCTCTATTGCACCTCAATCTCGAGCCTCAATTGCAACGAAATATGGTTTAAATCCATTAATGGTGCTTTTTATTTAATAAAATATATTTTCTCTTTTATAATTCATTTAATCTAAACGTCGTTAACAAAAATGATTTTAATAAGGTAGCAAAACGTCTAGCTTATTTTTTCAAGTCACTTGGTGTACACTATGTATTCGATACGTCATTTTCACAAGATTTTTCACTACTTGAAAGTGCTCGTGAGTTTATTGAGAGATACCGAAAATTTCAAGAATTTCAAGAAAATCACGGAACATCCTCAGAGAATGGATTAATGAAAAACAACAGAGTAAAACATGAAAATATATCTTCAGAGGATACAACGCAACATAAAAGATCGTGTGATTTGCCAATGTTAGCTTCATCTTGTCCAGGATGGATATGTTATGCTGAAAAAACTCATGGTTTTGTATTACCCTATATCAGTAAAACTAAATCACCCCAACAAATTATGGGTTCAATAGTTAAAGATTATTTTGCTAGCAAACTAGGTGTCGAGTGAGTACATTATCTTTGAATTAACCCATTTTCATGCATAATTCTTAAATCATTTTTTCCTTTACATCATCCGCAGACCAAATAATATATATCATGTTGGAGTTATGATGTGCTATGATAAGAAGTTGGAGGCATCTAGACTCGATTTTTTTAGTGAAGAATATCAAACTCGGGATGTCGACTGCGTTTTAACGACCGGTGAAATAGTTAAAATGTTTGAAGAACAAAATTTTAATATTAATGAGAGTCCTGAAATACCATTAGACTCGTTTGTTAAAACGAGCCAAGAAGGGCAACTTTTACGGTCGTCCGGTTCGGCATCGGGCGGCTTTCTTGAATTTATACTTGAATATTCCGCACGTGAACTATTTGGAATAACAGGAATTAACGTTGAAAAAGAACAGGGTGTTGTTGTTAAGACTGGTAGGAATAAGGACTTTAAAGAAATCTCTCTTGAGGTAAAAATAGATTACATATATCATAAATTAGAAATATCAATTACATATCCGAATAATACTTTTTATTTGTTTAGGTTGATGGCAAACCATTGTTAAAATTTGCTTCGGCATATGGATTTCGAAATATACAAAATCTTATTCGAAAAATTAAAAGTGGAAATAGCTCTTATCATTATATCGAAGTTATGGCCTGTCCATCTGGTTGTATAAATGGTGGTGGTCAGTTGAAACCAAATGAATCATTGTCAATCAAAGATTGGATCAATGAAGTAAATAATACATATAGATCAATTGATTCTCTGTCTCCTGAAAAAAATGAGACTGTGTTAAATTTATACAGGTAAATATTCTTTACATTAATAATTTCGTTAATAATTAATTTATTAATTATTTTTTCGGATTATTACATAATTTATAGTGAGTGGCTTGGAGGAAAAGATAGTCCAAAATGTAAAACAATGCTTCGTACACAATATCATGCAGTGGATCAAACTTTAGCTAATCCATTGGCTACTAAATGGTGAATTTGTATAGGTTAGTAATATCATCACTTCTGATACATTATATATTAATATAATAATAAATTAAAAAATTTTATAATTAATATTTTATTTAATTAATTCAATTTAAAACTAAGGTTTTGGGAATATATATTATAATTTTAGGACTTAATTAGGCGTCGCTACCCTGCGATGTGCTTATACTAGTGCTTCGATCCTATTTTTGACAGGAAATCCGGATTCTATTAAATCCGAATTGAATCCGTATTAGATTACATAAAGCTATTTTTGTAGCACGTCCTTAGGTTCGTTATCCAAGTCCTTTAACCAATCCGAACAAGAATCTCTGATTAGATATCAAAATCTATCTAGATTTAAAGGTCAATTTGGAAAGTCGGATTAAGGATCGAAGCACTAGCTTATACATCGCATTTTAATGATCGACCAATCAAATTTCAAAATTGTGTAACGTAGCACAAACATAATAGATTCAAAACAACGTTTATCGTTATCATTTATAATTCAAAATTTTACATATGAACGTGATTTATTTTAGACAAATTATAATCTATATATATATGCGACGTATAAGCACATCGCTAGTAGCGACGTATAGATTATTCTACTATATATATACAGTAAGCTTATATTCTAATTTTTTAAGTAAATATTTATTAAATCTGTTAAAAAAATATAAAAAAAACCGGAATACCGATATTATAATTACGATTAGATACTTACCACAAGAGAATTATAATTAATTTATTTACAACCATAATACTGTTTAAGAAAATTTTTTTACACCAATGATTTAAACGCCAGAAACCGTAACTTATCGGAATTTAAATATTAATATTTTTTTTAAAAAAAAATTATCAGTACCTAAATTCGATGGACAAGGGTAACATATGAAAAAATTTCAATATGTATAAAAAACGTGATTGTGTCATATAGATGAGGAACTTTCGCACAAGTGACTTAAAAAAAAAAACGATTTACCTTATCCGGAGTGATTAAAATATGTTCAGTCATCACTTTGAACTCCAAATTTAGTATGCACGTGATTTTTGGTTCATCCGGCGATACCATACACACACATTAATATTGTTTGCAAAAATCATGAATGAGAGTTACATTCGTATTTGCAAGGAAGTATGAAGTGATTATACGAATGCCGTGAAACATTTGGAAAGAGTATAAATACCACACAAGCCTTGGGATATCTATTTATAAATTAAGCAGGTGTTATATAATGTGCGTACGTACTGTACGTACTTAGGATGGATAGAAGCACAAAATTTTTCACTCAGTTTAAATAAGGTTTTAATGAATTACTGAATGATATGCAATTAAGAGAACACAAAAGGAATAAAGGAGCAAAACTTTCACAAAGTGACATGGTCACGTAAGTATGTAAGTTCTTACGTACCTTAACTGTTAGCAGTTAAAATAATAATCTTACGTACGATAAATCACGCGCAATAAAACGGGAACTTGAGAAAATAACAAGTAAATCCCGTTTCAGCAAGAGTAGCCGAACAGCACGGAGATGAATTGGCGTAAATCGAAAGGATCTGTCCGGAGGATCTTAAATTGTTAGTCGCATGCGACTGACGGAGTAATATATACTGACTGACCTAAACATAAGACGTGACCATCATTTGATGAGCTTTTTCAATCTAATTATACTTAAATTGTCTCACGGTTGCTTGCCATAGTCTGGCTTTGGGACCAAGTTAAATATTTTAGTCACTTATATGAGAAGATAATAAAGTACGGAGGTTATTTTTACATAAATTTCTCTTTATGTACTGAAGCATACCAAATAACGATTAGTTGAATAATAAGGGTAATAAAAACAGTAGGGTGCAAAAACAAGACTCAATATTTATTATTTATTTACAAAATTATTTATTATTTATTTGAATTTCTGCAGTATTGTAATGTATGAATTGCACAATATTTTAACCACTTTTCAAAGTAAATGGTACGGAAAATGACAAAAGATTTAGTTCTCTCTTCTCGGATTCGCAAATGGAACCCCTAGCAAAGCCCAAGCCAGAAACAAACACCTCATCAACGAGATACATGATTTAATTACTATTGGATGGTGTGAATGAAATGCTACACCGTAATTCAAATACTTGATTACATATGGTATAGATATGTATGTATCGTATTTTGGCGATTATGTTGTGGCTCCATCTGCTGACCTTTTTGAAATTTGTTTCCCCTTTCCCTCGGCGAAACAAAGGAGTGATTCATGATATTATCTAAAGAATGTTTTAGATTTAAAAGCAGTCTTTCACATGCCACTTTGCTTTTGCACTGCCTATTTTAAATCCTGTCTTCCAAGCCGCCCCGTTTTTGTGCTCTATTTATAATAAAAAAGGTTCCCACAGTGACTCGGACCCCCGTATTCCGTATTCTTTATCATGTGATTTTATTACGGACCGTTATTTGACCGCCTCGGATCTAGATGGGGCGGAAATCTACCAACAAATGAGATCGTGATCTTTCGGGTTAAAAAAATTCTTGATTACTGGCTTGCTGATTTTCATTTCTTTATTATATTTATCCACTGGCTTTTTCCTATAGTAACACCCAAAAAAAACATTGACCGGACCCTTCCGTATTCTAACTATCATGCTATCTCTATATCTGGTCATACCAGATCAGGAATGTTGATTCTGGCCACTGGTCATTCGTCTCATTCACTTAGTCATTTGTCGAGATTTTTAAATTTTATATAGAAGACTTAAATGGACAACTTTCTTCCACGGCTTCACTCAATATTTTTACCCTTACGGCTATCAGTTTTTCTTTTTGAAAATAATTCGGATAATTGTATTTGTTATATTTATCTTGGACGTTACTTTTTATTCTTATTGATGTGTTTGGTTCGTATCCGTCCCACTTTTTTCTGCGTGTCTTTTTTTTTTCCTGTCTTCAAAACCATTGTTCCTTCTGATTTCGTTCTTAAATAGACAAGAAAAAAAACCCGTATTTGATAGACAGTCAGTCAACTTACATAGCTTAATATCATTCATAATAAAACTCCGATAAAAAACTTTCTTTTTATTTTTCTGTTACCTGAGACAGTAATTCAAACTAAGCCATATATTATTAATTGACTTTATATAAAAAAGGTCTCCTCTCTTCCTACGACATAAATTAAAAGTCTCGTTGAAGTTTTCCGGATTTCTGTATATATTAGCTTCTTGTAATTTTTAAAAATCTTTTAACTTCCTTAATACCCTTCTCACTTTATAATTGCTGTTGTTAGTTGAGTTTTTTGTCAAGGCTTCTCACATATTCCTTCTACAATGTCGTTCGCTGAAGTCGGAGAGTCCCTTGGCCCTATAACTGCCACAGCTCAGCAAACAACGAACTTTCACTATTATAATACTCAGGGTGATTCAGATAACGAGCATGATTACGTAGGGACTCCGCCTTACTCAAACGACGAATCTACACTCGAAGGTGACAACAGCGAGGAAGGAATGGAAGGTGTCTCTGACAGTGAAGAAGAAACTGACAATAGGGAATACCATTATCATAATGTTACGACAGAAGACGAGGAAGACGAAGACGAAGAAATGGACGTCTGCAGCTCTGACGATTCTGAATCTGACGAAACTGAAGACGAACAAATTACTCAAAATATCCTCCCTGTACAAAATCAAGGATTTGAAGGTGGTAGCGACTTTAATACGTATCGAAACGGTAATGGAATAACCAGCGGTAATGTCATTGACGTTGGCAATAATAATCTCAACAATAGCAACAACGGAAACACTGCCAACAACAACAACATGTTACCTCCTATTCAAATGCTTCACAGAAATACACCTCCATCAATACCTGCATCAACATTGTCTGCTCCGTCTTCTTCAACTAGATCTCTTGGATCTGATATTCAATTTAGCGATAGATTGCTTGCTTTCAATACGATGCATGTACGAAATTTAAATAATAGAGATCTTCGTCAAAACCATCATGTTGGCAGTTATAATATACCTCCTTTTCCTGATGGCTTTCCAGTTCCTCAACCACAGTCAATTTTTAGATTTCCTAACGTGAGTCAACCTCCTAGCTATACTGTTAGAAATGATGTTACTGTATCTCAATCAACGACAACATCTTCAAATGTTTCTCAACAAAAGCAAAGTCCTTTGAGGTTTGGTTTTCCAGATTCCCAAGAATCACGTGATAATGAAATGGATGACGACGATGATGAAGATGGTTCTTCATCTGCAAATTCTTCATCTTCACGAAAAAGAGCAAGGTCAATTTCAAATGATTGGCCTAATACCACTTCCAATTCTCATTTTATTCCATCATCTATACAATTTGGTTCTTTGGAACCTATCAATCGAGATGGTATCGGTGGTAGGTCTACTGTTGGTAATAGCTTGCAAGCATCTACCCGTTCATCTTCTCCGCTTAATCGTTCGACACCGGGAAATCATGCTCCGGTTATTAATAATTATCAGGATGTTACCGATTCCCCTTCTACTCCTTTATCTCCTCCAATAAATTATATGCCTCATTATATCCCACATCCTAATCGTATTCCTACTTATGTCGCATACAACCAATCTTCTAATTCCTCTCAATCATCATCATCTATACCGATACGTCCACAGTCTCAACAAACCTTTTTCAATCGTATGCCATATGTTGGTAACGCATCAAGAAGAAATTTTCCAAATCCAACTCAACCATTAGATACTTCTTTAAGAAGACCATCACATCATACTAGTGACGAGCAACAATCTTATAATAATTACACTTCAGTTGGCTCTGAAGCGTCCAATGTAATATATCCTGAAGTGGTATCTTCGCAGCCTGAGCGAAGGCAACATCATTCAAATGTTAATGTACATATACAAAATGTGTCACAAGGGCCTAGGGGATCATCGTCTTCCAGATGGACGTCTCGTGATTCTTCAAATAGAAATCGTGATGTGTTTAGATCAATCATTCCAAATCCACATCTTCGTCGTACAGCGATTCGTCCAAGTACTTTCACGGGTGCTAGTAATCATTCAACTCTTAATGGTCCAATGCAGGAATCCTCTAGAGTGATCGGAAGTGATGAGGAGCCAGATACTGCTATTGATTTGCCAGAAAGTTCAGATAATGAAGTTAATATAACAACTACTCCTAATCGTGTTACACCATGGACAAATAGAATTATTAGACGTCATGATATACGTCAGGATTCTAATACACGTGACTCGCGGCAACCTATAAATCATCGAACTTTAGTGTCATCGGCATCTACAACAAATGCTGCAAGAAACAATTCTTCTGAAAATCCTGTTTTAGATGAGCAATTGACAAGAAGGATACAGCCAACTGAATTCAGCTCTACACATCAAAATCTCGTAAGTTTAACTTGTCCTTTAATCCATATTACTCTTATTCTAATAAAATAATTTTATTTGATTATATGATAGAATGACGAGCATAGTCCATTGTCAAGGATTTTTGGAAGTCGAGGTATGGCTAACTTTTTAAGAAATTGTGTATATTTTTGAAATATCCATCGTCATTAATTTATATGAATTTATCGCCGTTTGTCTATCTGGAAAATAGTTCGTCCCTCATCTCGCCGTGATACGGGAACGAATTCGTCAACAACTTCACGAAGTGGTTCTGTCAGGAGAGATACACCAACGCGTGCACCAATACCCAGATTGCCAGACATGTTGTCACATCATGACCGTCATCATAGTGAAGAACGTGGAAGTGAATCTAGGTCCCGTGCTCATGGTTTACGCAACGGTCAATCAAGGAACGTAAGGCAAGGTGCTCATTATATACATCATTTCATACCACATTATCCGTTATTAGAGAATCTTATTGATAATGGTGAACTAGAAGACTACTTTATTGAGATGATGCCAGAGTTTTTGGGGTATATGATGTTTTTAAATGCTTCATAATCCTTTAACAATATATTTACACATGTTAATATTTACGCTTTTTTCATTAGTAATGGTATTGCAGCTAATCCAGATAACTATCTGGTAGGTTATGGTTGAAAATTGTTGATTACGAACATAATTTTCCTTTTAAAGGCAACATTTGTAAAATTTATTATTCTTCGTTAGGATGAAGATGAGTTTGACTCTAGTTATGAAGGATTGCTTAGACTAAGTGAACGCATCGGCGATGCAAAACCTAAAGGTGTTCCAGATCATGTGGTTAATACATTACCCACAAAACGGTATTCAATGAGTAAAACTAGAAGTCTTGATGAAAGGTATTTAGTCAGATTAATTCTACGGATCTATATATTTGCTTATTATTACATTTATTTAATTTTTTTTTCTCTACAAACAGGTGCACTATATGTTTGTCAGAATATGAGCTCAATGATTGGCTCCGGGATTTGCCGTGTGCGCACGATTTTCATAAAGAGTGCATCGACATTTGGTTCAAGAATTCTGACAAGTGTCCAATTTGTCGATATAGTATTCTGGAAAAATATGGATCTCTGAACGGCGATGGGAAAATCTGATTCAAAATCGCTTGAAGAAATTGTCGGTTCCAGTTGGATTAGAGTTTCCTTGTATCCCTTCGGAGGAATTTCCGGGCAGTTTGAGTTATCGAAAAAGGATCTATAGTGCAAGGAAGAATAAGCATTTGTAATATTTGTATAGATTACCGTTTTTTTTCACCTTTTCTTACAGTTCCCTGGTATATGAACGCAAAAAAAAAAAAAGAGCAAAAAAAAAACTAATAAATTTCTTTCTTTAAAAAAAAAAAACAATCAGAAAAAAAAAAATCAAAGAATCAGATTCAACACCAAAAAAAAAAAAAAAAAAAAAAAAAAAAGGAAAAAAAAAACAAAAAAACAGTTGGTAATATGAAGTTCATTATGCATTCATTTTTAGCGGTATTTTGTTCTTTCTTTTGGCAATTAAACCTTGTTTTTGGGATTTCTTTTGCTTATTCGTTTTTATATAGATCGAGTGTTCAATTGTTTGGAGAAAAAACAAATTTATAATATGTTATTTATGTAAACATATTATTTATTGTATAATAATAGTTGTTTATATGTGGGTACCGTTTATAATATTTGATATTTGGATTACTGATTTGAATTTGTGATTGTAAAAAAATTTAGTGTGTACAGTTAAATACTATATACAATATAGTAAGTATTCAGAATTGCAAATAAAGCATATTTTTGTATAAAATAAAATAATAGTGCTTGTTTTTTTTTAAATATTAAGATTTGTTTTATAATAAATTTATTTTTTATTTTAACAACTATTAAATATAATATAATTATGTTGATTTTTAAAGTTAAAAAATTTATTGAATTAATTAGATTTAGTATTTGTTAAGATTAAAAAAAAAATCATTTTATTAATTTTTTTTTTGATAATTACTAATTTGCTTTTCTGGTTAAATCACCTAGAGTGCTATGTTTCAAAAACGTACTAAGTAATTAAAGTTAGTAATTATTTCTTAAACTGTTTTCTAGACAAATTTGCCTGGAATTTTGAAAAGTATTTATAATTTTTTAAATAAAACTAAAAATTATTAATAATATAGAGTATATTTTATATATAAAAAATTTTATTTAAAATATATTCTATAAGCTTTATTATAAAATTTTTTTAATTTTACTAGAAATCTTTAGAGTAATAAAAATTTAAAGCTCTTGCTTTAAAAATTTTTACTATAAA